AGCCGCTATGCGGGTGGGCCCCTCCTCCGGGCTGGTGCTGCCAGGGTTGGGGTGGGAGGTGCTCCCTCTTGGACTGACCCCGCTCCGGAGCTCAGGAGGAGGCTCCGCTTACCTTGGCCCTCCCCTTCCACCCGACCCCGAGCTCAGCGCCAGCTCCGGTGCCGCCACTCGGTCTGCCCACGCCGGATCCCTTCCTCGGGGCCTCGGACGTGGGGCAGCCGTGCATGTGCCTGGCGTGTTTCGGGATGAGCCGGCGGGAATTTGAACTGTGTGGTCGCCCACTGTGGGGGCCCCACTTCCCTTGAGCAGTGCATTACCGCTGTGCCTTGGAACGGCCCCAGTGATGCTGTTGGAGAGAAGCTGCATCCCACATGGCAACGGAGGTTCAAATCCCCAGCCCGGTCAGGCTGAAGCAGACCAGGGCTGTGCACAAGGGCCCGGAGTCTGATGGCCTGCAGGGCCAGACCCTGTGGAGGATGCCCCTGTGTCTGGGTATTCTATCATAATTTTAAAAAAACAAACAAACAAAAAAAACTAGGCATTTAATTTTATTTATTTATTTATTATTTTAGTCTCCTGTAGAGCACCAAAGAGCGAGAGAAGGAAAGAGAAAGCAGGCTGCCAGGGCTGGGACTCAAACCGTGGTTGACCATGTGGGAATCCAGTGCCGTAACCACCACACACAGTCAGTTGTCCACCCCCTATCTTAAATAATAATAATAAAAAAAACCTCTAAATTGCAGACAGCCCCTGACTTACCGTGGTTGAACGTACGATGATGGGACAGAACACGCGTTCCGTAGAGTCGGAACTTCTGGTCCCCACGCAGATCTGTCTCTCACGTTCAGTGTGGTGTGCGGTAAACGACTAATCCCCGAGATGGCACTTTTTCTAAAGCCGGCTTGGGTGAGAGGACTGCTCCTCCGTGGCGAATGGCAGCGTTCCGAGCACGTTTGAGGCCGTCTGGGCTAAGCCTGGATTCGGTGGGTTTAGGCAGATCCGCTGGATGTCGGGTATTTCCGGTGTAGGATGGGTTTACCAGGACGGAGCCTCATTGTAAGTCGGGGGTAGCTTTATCATCCCAGAACAATACAGTTCTCTAAAGGAAATCATAATAGCCAAGTGCCCTGGGGCTGGGGTTCCTGTCCCTCAACTGGGGCCTCTGGATGACCTGTCAGGTCTGCGCCTGTCTGTCTGCGGGAGGGGAGCCCCACGGTTCCCTCCAGTTTGCTTAGGGGCGTCCGTGACCCTCTCAGCACCTGTACAGGCACTTTGGAGTTGACCCAGTTGACTGGGCTCCCACGTCGACCACAGTTTGAGTCCCGGACCCGGCTTAAAACTCGGGCTGAGAGCGTGTGCGTGCCCTAGATCCTGACAGGAGCATGGAGGAGAAGGGATGGCGGTGTGGCCGTCCCCGCTGGGGGTGACTTCTCACTTTCTGTCTGTCTCTGTCTCTCCAATGAGTGCACGTACCCTATAGCCAAAATCCTTTAAAAACCAAAGGCAGTGGGCAAACTCCTAAGCTAATGGTCAGAGGCAGCTGGAGGTGCGGTGGCTAAGGGTGCCGGATCCCACACGCCGACTGCACTGTTGGGGTTCCGAACCGGCAGTTTAAGAGCCATGCCAGGCGCGCGTGTGTGCACGACCCAGATCCCAAGAGGAGGAGAAGGAATTACCGTGTGACCGTTTCCCACGGGGTGCTCTCTTGCCTTCCCTCTCTGTCTCTGGCCAGTGCATGAACACTCGGGCACATCGGAAACAAAACTAACAGGTGGCCTCTCTTGTCACTTACCTCTAGCGTCCGCAAAGTGAGGACAGGGAAAGTGCTCAAGGCTAAGCAGGAAGTTCACGGGGTAAGTGGCCCCCCCCTTCCATCCGGACCTCGCCTGTGTCTGCGCACTGCGTGGGAACGAGTGTTCCTACTGTTTCTTCTTCATTTTTCAAGAATTACTGTATTGGGGCCGACGGGTGGCATGGTGGTTAAGGGCACTGGACTCCCACATGGCCCACCACGATTTGAGCCCTGGACCTGGCAGCTGGCTTTCTCACTTTCTGAGGTCTGGGACTCGAACCATGGTCAGCCATGTGGTGGCCCAGCGCCAGTAACCACCATGCCACCTGCTGGCCCCCCTACTATTTCTCTCTCTCTCTTTTTTTTTTTTTTTTTGCCATAGGGCATGTGCACATGCCAGAGACAGAGGGAGGGAAAGTGAGATATATCGCAGGGGTTGGCCACACCATAGTCCTTCCTCCCCCTGGGATTTTGGGCATGCACACACACGTGTCCAGTGTGGTTTTTGAGCCCAATGATTCTATTTACCTGATATTAGAGGCCTCCTCTGTGAAGGTTACTCTTCCGTGTGCATTCAAACAGAGGAACATCTTCAGGCCTCCCCTTCATGGAGGGCTAGTCATGTACCTCGTCCCCAAATGTCCTTGTCAACAATTTTCCAGTCTTTTTTCTTCCCTGACCTCTCAGCTGAACTACTGGCTATAGCCCATATGAGAGCATATGATCGGGCCAGGAGGAGGTGTGGTGGTTATGGTGCTGTGCCTCATCCATGCCATCTGTTCTTTGCTATCAACTGCCTTTCCAAAAAGCAAATCCTTGCCGTCCTAAAAATGATTTATGTTGTTATTATTATTACTTTTTTTTTTTTTTTAATTTGACCAGAGAGAGAGACAGAGACAGAGAGGGAGAGGGAAAATGAGAAAGCAAGCCACCAGGTCCAGCAACCGAACTGTGGTCAGCCATGTGGGAGTGTCCAGTGCCTTAACTACCACGCCACCTGCTGGTCCCTTGGTGGCTTGCTTTCTCTCTCTCCGGTCAAGTTAAAAAATAGTAATAAATAAAATTGAGATAAATAATTCTTTTTAAAAGAGAATTATTTAATGTAATTTATTTATTTATTTATTTATTTATTTTTAAAATTTGACCAGTGAGGGACAAAGCAAGAAGGAGAGAGAGAGAAGGTGAGAAAGCAAGGCTCCAGGTCCGGGACTCGAACTGAAATCGGCCATGTGGGAGTTCAGCACCCTTAACCACTATGCCACTTGCTGGCCCCTGAACTAAATCATTCTAAAAAAGTGATAATAAAATTCTGCAAATAACAGTTTTCTGATATGTCACATTAAGATCCTCTCCCCTCTCACCTCCCTTTCAAATAACTGATTGTGAGTAAACAATGATGCATCTATTTCTGTGAGATGAATCGTTTATTTTTTTTTTTTAAGAACTATTTGTAGAAGGGAACCAGCAGTTAGCGTAATGGCTATGTCGCTGGACTCCCATGTAGTCGACCACG